GGGGTGATAGGGACATGCGAACGTACTTTTCTTTTAAATGACTACATGCGAACAAGTGCGAACATAAGGGGGGGAGGGGGTCTAGATTTTCGAAAAAGTGCGCACGTACTTTGTGAACGACGCCTTATCAGTAAATCCCTATTTACTGACCACTTCCTGGTTGTGGTGTTTGTCGTTTTGCTGATCCACCTGTGAGTCCGAGTCTCGCTGTCTCTCACTCTCTGTTTCAATAAATACTCAATAATTAAATTTATTAATTATAGAAATTATAAATAATTGTTAAAATATATAATAAAAGTTAATAAATGAGTTGATATACGAAGTGTTAATACAATTAAAGCCAGTATTGAGTCGAAACATATCGTTATTTCAATCCCTATTGAATGAAAGGTTTAAATTGTAAAATAAACGAAATATTTAAAACTGTTTTCTAAATATAACCATGGTCAGCTAAATTGTGTAGAATTTTAATTATATTCATTAATAAATAGACATTTATTTGAGTTTTATTTCAAATTTTTATTTAAATTCCTAAGCATTTATTAAAACAGATAATTAAAATCATTCATAAAATTAAACATCAAAATATAATTAAGTGTTTTAATTGTATTTTAAACAAAATAAAGTTGTCTTTCAATCGCTTCAAACATTTACATCACTTTTACGGCAATAAAACAAAAACTTTGTGTCAAAACTTTTGATTCAAAAGAGTTTGAAAACTTATTTACAGTTAAGTTAGAAATTACAAAATAAGTGCAAATATTTAAAACTTACTAAATATTGCCATTATTTTAATTATAAATTTAAATATGTTTACAGAATAAATAGACATTAATTGTTTTATTTCACATTTATGTTCAAAGTTTTAAGCATTTATTTGTAACTTAAAACTTAAAGATTAATTATAATTAAAGTCACAAATAAAATCAAATATCAAATGTAATCAAATGTTTGGTTGTATTTAAAATGAAAATAAAGTTGCCGTTCAATCGCTTCAAACATTTACAACATTTTTACGGCAATAAAACTTTGAGACATTATTTCTACGGATTTCAATGGACTTCAGTTTAAGACTTCTGGCCAACAGGTCTTCGCAGACATTATCAATGATATCTTTGCCAACAAATCGTTTAAATTTAACCACAAGAGTGTTTGCAGCGCTGGTAGTCTTGAGATGTGATCCAAACACTCGTCAGTCATATCATTCATTTGAATGAATATGTATTGAAGTCGTGGCCACTGTTTGTCACAATTAATAAACAATTTGTCACTCATTTGAGACCAATTGAGCGATAAATGCGTTAATCCGTGACAGAGTTTCAATGGATCCAGAAATAGGTAATCGATGGCCACACAGATTGTTAAATCCAAACGTTTTAATCGTGGATAAGATCTCAACGAATCCAATGATTGGTCTTCTAATCCGCAGTTATTATAATTATTATCAAATCTAAGTGTTAATCGTTTCAATTGTCGGCATTTTTGGCCGATTGTCCGCAAAGATTCGTTCAACGAGTTCTGGTCACTCATTGTCCTCAAATTGAGTTCCAAATGCCGTAATTGTGGTAATCGTGACAACTGTTCGGCCATTTCGGTCAGACTGTCGTGAGTTTGATATCTATTGTCAATGAGTTTAACACTTCTTAAGGACTGATTCTTATCCACGAATGCAGACAACTGTTGGTTAGTATTGGATATTTCGTTATAAAACTCAATTGTCTGCAAATTCTTCACAAATGGTTCATCAAAAGTGTCGTCAAAGACATCGAATAACGTGTGGATCCGTAGTCGAGACAATCGGTGACAATGATTAAGCAATTGTCTTATGTCTACTCTGGGAATGTCGTTAACCTGGTGTCCGGCCAATCGGAGGACATGAGAGAGTCGTTGATTGCCTTTCTGACAGTTCCCAATACCGCCAATTCGTGTGACCATTGGTCCGAACTCTGGCATCATTTTAACCGTATTTAAGTCCAAATAGCAGTAAATGTTCCGCAAATGCCGACAATTGTCTCGAAATATGGCCAACACTTCCGACAATTCCTTCGTATATCTGATACTTATTCTTCTTATATCAATGGTATGAATGTGTGGACACTTGCGGCTAATTGTGGCCAACATTTTCATGTCATTCACGTTAGCCCGCGATCTCATAGACTGGTCGTGAAGAGTGATGTCGACAACACTCTCGAAGACTGTCCTCTGGAACTGTGTGGACACACATTCACAGACAAAGCGGTCGTCGAGTGAGAGGTACGACAATATGAGTCCACACAAATCATCACCGAAACGATTAAATGACTTCTTTGGGCACATCTGTGGCTAAAATGTGAACCAAAATAAAACTCAATTAAAACTCAATAAACACTCAATTGTTTTGTCAGTCAATACCTGTTGAATGTCTTCGTCTTCGGTGTCCTCTGTGGTGACGCGTAATCTCTTTGTTGGTGTCATCTCTTTGTATGATATCTTGGGATCAAATCAAGTGATCTATGCTTTGATTAATGAAAATCTATTTAAAGTATATTTTGTTATGAAATTCAAAGCAAATGCCAAACAAAACATGTGTTAATACTTTCAATGTTTACCCTTAAAAGTGATGCAATAAATAATGTGTTAATTACGGCACAAATGTTATAAATTCACCCCTTTTTACAGTTAATTAAAAAATAATTAAATATTTTATTAATTTATTTAATTAGTTATAAATAATGTATGTTTTCAGTGAATATATATTCAGTTCTTGTCTAACAAACGATTTAAACAATTTTAAGCAAAATATTTAAAACAACAAAAATGTTTTCAATACTTATTGAATAAGTTTTTAATTATGGTTAAAAGTAAATACTTAATACATTTAATATACGACTTTAAATATTATCCATGATCAGTTAAATGGTGTATGAACTTAAAAAAGACAATAATTTTTACAAATAAATAGTCATTTAATTGGGTTTTATTTCACTTTTAATTCAAAATCTTAAGCATTTATTGGATATAATAATCATAATTAAAGTCAAACATAAAATGAAAAATTAAAACTTGAATAAAAATTGTAATAATTTGAGTTATGTTATGTTATAATTAAGTTATGATTCAATCGCTTCAAACATTACCGCAATTTTTACGGCAATAAAACATTAAGTCATCAAATCTACGGATTTCAATGGTCTTGAGTTTAGCACTTCTGGCCAACAGGTCTTCGCAGACATTATCTATTAAATGATTGCCAATATGTTTACGATTTACCACAAAACCACTGAATAGTCGGAAGCAATCAAACTCCAGTGTCTGCAGCGCTGGTAGTCTTGAGATATGATCCAAACCATTGGATGTAATATCAGTTCTTTCAATGGATAAGCATTGAAGTCGTGGCCAATGTTTGTCACAATTGACAAATAAATTGTCATTAATTTGACTCGAATTGAGTGATAAATGGGTTAATCGGTGGCAGAGTTTCAACGGATCCAGAAATTGCTCAAAAATTGCCGAAATAATGGTTAAATCCAAATGTTTTAATCTGCGATAACATCCCAATGAATCCATTGAGTGGTTATAAAGTCGAATAGTATTCTTCGACTCCAACTTCAGTCCCAATCGTTTCAATTGCGGGCACTTCTGGCCGATTGGCCGCAAAAACACGTCCAATGAGTTCGGGCCGTAGTTTAGTGTTAAATCGAGTGCCAAATCCCGTAATTGTGGTAATCGTGACAACTGTTCGGTCACTTCTGTCAAACTCTCATGAGATTCATAGTTACAAACATCGAGTTTAACACTTCTTAGGGACTGATTTCCGGTCACGAATGGTGACAACAGTTGTCTATTATCTCCACTATTGTATGAAAACTCAAATCTCTGTAAATTCTTGGCCAACAGTTCTCCTGTGGAGAAGACTTTGGAAATGTCGTTAACCTGGAGTTGTGACAATCGGTGGCACTGAGAGAGCCGTTGATCATTGCGATTCTCAATCCAACCAATTCTTGTGACCATTAGTCCGAACTCTGGCATCAATTGATCCGTATATTTATTTAAATCGCAGTAAATGTGCCGCAAATGCGGACAATTGTCTCGAAATATGGCCAACGCTTCCGGCAATTGCTTCGTATATCTGTTGGTTATTTTTCTGCAGTCAATGGTATGAATGTGTGAACACTTGCGTACAATTGCGGCCAACATTTGAATGTTAGCTCTGGTATTGACATAATTGTCGTCAATAGTTATGTGGACAACACTCTCGAAGACAGTCCTCTGGAACTGTTTGGACACACATTCGCAGCCAAAGCGCTCGTCGAACAAGAGGTACGACAGTATGAGTCCACACAAGTCGTCACCGAAACGATCGAAAGAGTTCTTCGCATAAATCCGTCGCTAAAAAATAATATGAAAGACAATTAAAACTAAATGAATACTCAATTATTTTGTCACTCAATACCTGTTTTTTGATTACAACTTCGCCGTCATCTGTGGTAACGAGTGATCCCTTAATTGGTGTCATCTCTTGTGTCATATGTTGTGATCAAATGAAGTGATTGTCTGTATTAATGGTTTGATTAGTAAATCTTAAAATTACCAAAAAGTTGTTAAAAAAGTTAAGATTAAAAAAACAATAAAACTTTTGAAACAAACAGTGATTGAGATGTGAATTGTGTGACGTCTGGCGCTCTTCTAAACCTAACACTCAATCCAATCGTTCAAATGCTTCACAGCTTTCAAGAAAAGTTTCACCAGTAAAAAAGGATTAAATGATTTAAAAAGGATTAACATTTTTGTTATTCATGTGATTATCAGTAAATCCATATTAATGATCACTTCCTGGTTGTGGTGTTTGTCCTTTTGCTGATCCACCTGTGAGTCCGAGTCTCGCTGTCTCTCACTCTCTGTTTCAATAAATGTTCAATAATTAAATTTATTAATTATAAAATTTATAAATAATTGATAAAATATATACCGGTAATAAAAGTTATTAAATGACTTGATATACAAAGTGTTAATACAATTAAAGCCAGTATTGAGTCGAAACAAATCGTTATTTCAATCCCTAATGAATGAAAGGTTTGAATTGTAAAATAAACGTAAATATTTAAAACTTGATAAATATTCTCATTATTTTAATTATAATAAATATGTTTACAGAATAAATAGACATTAATTGTTTTATTTCATATTTGTATTCAGATACTTAAGCATTTATTCGTATCTTAAAACCGAAAGATTATTTATAATTAAAGTTACAAAAAAATCAAATATTAAATGTAATCAAATGTTTGGTGTATTTAAAATGAAAATAAAGTTGCCGTTCAATCGCTTCAAACATTTACACTATTTTTACGGCAATAAAACTTTGAGACATTACATGCATTTCTACGGATTTCAATGGACTTCAGTTTAGCACTTCTGGCCAACAGGTCTTCGCAAACATTGGTCATGAAATGATTGCCAATATGTTTGCGATTTACCAAAATTCCACTGAATAGTCGGTCGCAATCAAACTCCAGTGTCTGCAGCGCTGGTAGTCTTGAGATGTGATCCAAACAACTGCTTGTAATAGAAGTTCTTTGAATGGATAAGCATTGAAGTCGTGGCCAATGTTTGTCACAATTGGCAAACAAATTGTTATTAATTTGACGCGAATTGAGTGATAAATGTGTTAATCGGTGGCAGAGTTTCAACGGATCCATATATACATCGCTCATAATCACATGAATAGTTAAATCCAAACGTTTTAATCTGCGATAACATCCCAACGAATCAAATGAGTGGTGACAAAGTCGAAGTGTGTTCTTCGACCCCAACTCAAGTAACAATCGTTTCAATTGCGGGCACTTCTGGCCGATTGGCCGCAAAAACACGTCCAATGAGTAGTGAAGCCTTAAAATGAGTGCCAATTCCCGTAATTGTGATAATCGTGACAACTGTGCGGCCATTTCGGTCCAACACTCGTAAGAATCATATTTATTATCAATGAGTTTAACACTTCTTAAGGACTGATTCTCGGCCACAAATGCGGACAACAGTTGGTTATTATCTCTACGATCGTAAGAATATTCAAATCTCTGTAGATTTTTAACCAACAGTTCTCTTGTCGTAGAGTCAAAGACAGTAGAAATGCCGCAAACATAAAGTCGAGATAATCGGTGGCAATGAAAGAGCTGTTGATTACTATTCGGACAAATATTACCAATTCTTGTGACCAGTGGTCCGAATTCTGGCATCAATTCATCCATATATTCATTTAAATTGCAGTAAATGTGCCGCAAATGCGGGCAATTGTCTCGAAAGATGGGCAACACTTCCACCAATTGCTTCGTATATCTGTTGCTTATTTCTCTGCAGTCAATGGTGTGAATGTGTGGACACTTGCGGCCGATTGTGGCCAACATTTTAATGTAATTGATGCGAGTCCGCGATCTTTTCCCATTCGCACGGGTCATGTCGTGAATTGTAATGTCCACAACACTCTCGAAGACAGTCCTCTGGAACTGTTTGGACACACATTCGTAGACAAAGCGCGCATCGAGCGAGAGGTACGACAGTATGAGTCCACACAAGTCATCACCAAAACGATCGAAAGAGTTCTTCGCATAAATCCGTCCCTAAAAATATAATTTAAAAACAATTAAAACTCAATGAATAATCAATTATTTGTCACTCAATACCTGTTTTTTGATTACAACTTCGTTCTCATCTGCGGTGACGAGTGATGTCTCCATTGGTGTCATCTCTTGTGTCATATTTTGTGATCAAACGAAGTGATTGTCTGTATTAATGGTTTGATTAGTAAATCTTAAAATTTGCCAAAAAGTGGTTAAAAAGTTAACATTCATAAAATTATAAAACTTAATTTAAAAAAACAAACAGTGATTGAGATGTGAATTGTGTGACGTCTGGCGCTCTTCTAAACCTACAGTCAATCCAATCGTTCAAATGCTTCACAGCTTTCAAAAAGAGTTTCGTCAGTAAAAAGGATTTAAAAAGGATTAAAATTTTTGTTATTCATGTGATTATCAGTAAATCCATTATTATTGAACACTTCTTGGTTGTGATCCACGTGTCAGCACAAGTCTCACTGTTTCTCACTCTCTGTTTCAATAAATACTCAATAATTAAATTTATTAATTATAAAAAATTACAAATAATTGTTAAAATATATAATAAAAGTTAATAAATGAGTTGATATGCGAAGTGTTAATACAATTAAAGCCAGTTTTTATGCAAAATCACTTTTACGGCAATAAAACTAAAACTTTGTGTCAATACTTTTAACTCAAATGGTTTTGAAAACTTATTTAAAAAATAAGTGCAAATATTTAAAACTTACTAAATATTGCCATTATTTTAATTATGTTTACAGAATGAATAGACATTAAATGTTTTATTGTACCTTAAAACTAGATTAAAGATTAATTATAATTAAAGTCACAAATAAAATCAAATATCAAATGTTTGGTTGTATTTAAAATGAAAATAAAGTTGCCGTTCAACAGCACCAAATATTTACACCATTTTCTCGACAATAAAACTTTGAGACCTTATTTCTACGGATTTCAATGGACTTGAGTTTAAGACTTCTGGTAAAAAGGTCTTCGCAGACATGATCTATGATATCTTTGCCAACAAATCGTTTAAATTTAACCACAAGTGTCTGCAGCGCTGGTAGTCTTGAGATGTGATGCAAACACTCGTCAGTCATATCATTAGTTTCAATGAATAGGTATTGAAGTCGTGGCCACTGTTTGTCACAATTAATAAACAATTTGTCACTCATTTGACACCAATTAAGCGATAAATGCGTTAATCGGTGGCAGAGTTTCAATGGATCCAGAAATACGTCATCAATGGTCACACAGATTGTTAAATCCAAACGTATTAATCGTGGATAAGATCTCAACGAATCCAATGATTGGTCTTCTAATCGGGAGTTATTATTATCTTTCAATATAAGTGTTAATCGTTTCAATTGTTGGCATTTCTGTCCGATTGTCCGCAAAAACTTGTCCAACGAGTTCTGGCCATTCGTTGGCCTCAAATAGAGTTCCAAATGCCGTAATTGTGGTAAACGTGACACTTGTTCGGCCATTTCGGTCAGACTCTCGTGAGTTTGATCACTATTGCCAATGAGTTTAACACTTCTTAGTGACTGATTCTCGGCCACGAATGCAGACAACAGTTGGTTATTCTTAGATACACTGTAATAAAACTCAATTCTCTGCAAATTCTTGGCCAACAATTCGCCGGAAGTGCCGGCGAAGACATCGGGCAGTGAAGCCCGGAGTCGAGACAATCGGTGGCAATGCTTAAGCAATTGTCTTTTGTAATACCAAACGTCGTTGATTCGTGTGATCAGTGGTCCGAACTCTGGCATTATTTGAGCCGTATTTGAGTCTAAATGACAGTAAATGTTCCGCAAATGCCGACAATTGTCTCGAAATATGGCCAACACTTCCGGCAATTGCTTCGGATATCTGATACCTATTCTTCTCATATCAATGGTGTGAATGTGTGAACACTTTCGGCTAATTGTGGCCAACATTTTCATAGCAGCACTGGTTTTCACATAATTTTCGTCAATAGTTATGTCCACAACACTCCCGAAGACAGTCCTCTGGAACTGTTTGGATACACATTCGCAGATAAAGCGCTCATCGAGTGAGAGGTACGACAGAATGAGTCCACACAAGTCATCACCGAAACGATCGAAAGAGGTCTTCGCATAAATCCGTCGCTAAAAATATAATATAAAAGACAATTAAAACTAAATGAATACTCAATTATTTTGTCACTCAATACCTGTTTTTTGATTACAACTTCGCCGTCATCTGTGGTGACGAATGATGTCTTCATTTGTCTCATCTCTTGTCTCATATGTTGCGATCAAATGAAGTGATTGTCTGTATTAATGCTTTGATTAGTAAATCTTAAAATTGCAAAAAAGTGGTCAAAAAAGTTAAGATTCAAAAGCAATAAAACTTTTGAAACAAAGAGTGATTGAGATGTGAATTGTGTGACGTCTGGCGCTCTTCTAAACCTAACACTCAATCCAATCGTTCAAATGCTTTAAAAAGAGTTTCGTCAGTAAAAAAAGATTAAAGGGTTTAAAAAGGATTAACATTTTTGTTATTCATGTGATTATCAGTAAATCCATATTTATTTACCACTTCCAGGTTGTGATCCACGTGTCAGCCCAAGTCTCGCTGTCTCTCACTCACTGTTTAAATAAATACTCAATAATTAAATTTATTAATTATAAAAATTATAAATAATTGTTAAAATATATAATAAAAGTCAATAAATGAGTTGATATACAAAGTGTTAATACAATTAAAGCCAGTATTGAGTCGAAACATATTATTTCAATCCCTATTGAATGAAAGGTTTAAATTGTAAAATAAACATAAATATTTAAAACCGTTTTCTAAATATAACCATGGTCAGCTAAATTGTGTACAATTTTTATTATATTCATTAATAAATAGACATTTATTTGAGTTTTATTTCAAATTTTTATTTAAATTCTTAAGCATTTATTAAAACAGAGAGATAATTAAAATCACACATAAAATTAAACACCAAAATACAATTAAGTGTTTTAATTGAATTTAAAATAAAAATAAAGTTGTTTTTTAATCGCTTTCAAACAATTACACCCATTTTTAAGGCACTAACATTTTGGGACATAAATAACATCATTTAATATATACGTATTTCAATAGTCTTCAGTTCAAGACTTGTGAACAATAAACTAATCATTAATTAAATTACTAATTAAATTGTGGTTTGTTTTAATAGCGATTGATATGAAAACGGATAATAGTATTAAAGCGTGTATTTGATTGACATTTACGTTGAATATGTGTGAATGTAATCACGCATCACATCCATCAACAGGTTGTCTGTGATTGCGTTCAATACAAACAATTCTTCAAAATTCTTCATACCTTTACCACAAACTTCCCTAATATTTATCTCCAGAAATGCCTTCAAAGCGAACTCAAAACGATTGGTCAACGACTGGTATGTGTAGCCAAGTGTGACCACTGAATACATGTTATCGATGGTCAACAGTTGGCCCAATCGGGTGCCCAACCTATCGCTCAGCCCTCGGACCCCATACTTGTCGGCCATTCCGACGATTGTCCCCATTGTCTCGATTGTGACCATTGTCTCCAAGTGTCGGCCGATGGCGTCCATCAAACGGATCACACGGTAGCGGTCGGCGCAGTGGAGGACTTCATGGATGAGATTCAGATCATTGGCATCGCTTAAGACAAGTGTATCCGAAGTGTACATAAAATAGATCATTGTTTTGAAGGCGTCGGCAGTGATCCCCTCGATCTGGATCTCCTTCGCCGCCGACTCTTTGAACATCTCGTCAAAGGCGTCGCTCTTCAGGCTTAAGACACCTCTCATTGCGGGCACTCTCTGGCCGTCGACAATGAAGACCACATCACTCTTGGATTCGTTCATAAAGTGTTTCCTTTCGGGAAACCTCTCGTCCTCTTCGGAGTCGGCGTCGGATGTGTTTCTCTTCCTCTTTGTCTGCAAATTCAAAATCTATTGTCAAACGAGTGGTTAATGTCTAATGTGTGGAACCATTACCACAGCGCCAGTGTCTTGGGATCCGTTGCCTGAATTGTCTGCCATTATGTTTGAGTTGATCCGCAAAATGACTTCGTATACAAAATGACTGTTAATTTGTAAACTAATCCACAATTAATGAGACAAAAAAGTCTTCGCTTTAAATCTGTGGCTAAAAATGTGAGACAAAAACATAAGACAATTAAAACTCAATAAAAACAATCAATTGTTTCGTCACTCAATACCTGTTGACTGTCTTTGTCTTCGGTGTCATCTGTGGTACCGATTAATCTCTTCGTTTGTATCATCTCTTCTATAATATCTTTGGATCAAATCAAGTGATTGTTTGTATCAATGCTTTGGTTAACGAAAATGTGGTTAAAGTGTTATGAAATGCAAACCAAAACAATAAATCATATGTTTTTGTCGCTTACTATAAGTGATGTCATAAATAACGTGTGAATTACGGCACAGATTTTGTAGCGAGAAATTAACCCCTTTTTATGTTTAATTAAATCTTTATTAAAATAATTAAATAAATTTAGTTATAAATCATGTTTTTATTTACAATAAGTATTGTTTTTACCAAATAATTGGTTCGCAAAATGACTTCAAACTAAAAACTTTGTCTCAAAAAATAGTTTTCAAACTTTTTATTAGTTTTGTTCGCAAATAAAATACTTAAATTATTTTACAAAAAGTTTTAAAACTAATATTTTATAATTGATTTATAAATAGCATTTTTGCGATAACTTTTCATACAATTATACAATTAAAAAATTAAAAATTTTGACATAAAATATAATTAAAAAGCTTTTGATAATAATTTTAAACCAAATAAAAGTTGTCTTTCACTCAACATTTACACCACTTTTACGACAATATAATTTTGAGACATTGAATAAACGGATATCAATTGTCTTCAGTTTAAGACTTCTGGAGAACAAGTCGTGGCAGACATTGTCCACGAGATGATTGCCTTCGGGAGTGAGAAACACATCGCAATGAATGAATTGATAGCAATCAAAGACTAGTGTCCGCAGCGCCGGTAGTCTTGAGATGTGATCCAAATCATTGGCTTTGATTTCCTGAGTCCTAATAAATACGTATTGAAGTCGCGGCCAATGATTGTCGTAAATGTCAACGAATTGGTCACTTGATTGCCAGGAATCGAGAGACAAATGTGTTAATCGGTGGCAGCGTTTCAACGGATCCAAACACGTGTTACCGATTGTCAACTGATGTCCCCAAAGCCTTAACTCAAATCGCTTTAATAGAGGATAATATTTCAATGAGTCTAATGTGCGGCCATTAAATGAATAGTAATTTAGTGTCAATTGAAGTGCCAATCGTTTCAATTGTCGACACTTTTGGCCGATTGTCCGCAAAAACTCGTCAAATGAGTTCTGGTCGATAATAAGACTCAAATCTAGCGACAATTCCCGTAGTTTCTGTAATCGTGACAATTGTGCGGCCATTTTGGTCACACTTTCGTGAGTCGAACAGACAATATAATCAAATTTAACACTTCTTAGGGACTGATTCTCGGCCACCAATGCGGACAACATTTGGTAATCTTCTTCAAAATAAGTAGACATTTCAAATCGCTGTAAATTCTTGACCAACGGTTGGCCGGAGTTGTTGTCAAAAACCTCGCAAAACTGCTGTCCGCGCAATGAAGACAATCGGCGACAATGGCTGAGCCTTTGTCTCCTGTATTCCGATATATCGCCGATTCGTGTGACCAGTGATCCGATCTCTGGTAGCTTTTCGTAAACATTTCGATCATAATTGCAGTAAATGTGTCGCAAATTGGGTCTAAATATATCCAACACTTCGGCAGTTTGTGTCAAACAATTACTACGTATTCCTCTCAAGTCAATGGTGTGAATGTGCGGACATTTGCCGTGAATTGTGGCCAACAATTCAATGTTAGACACTTTGAGTCGCGATTCTGTTGAATACGTGTCGTGGATAGTGATGTCGACAACACTCTTGAAGACAGTCCTCTGGAACTGTTTGGACACACATTCCCAGACAAAGCGCTCGTCCAGCGAGAGGTACGACAGTATGAGTTCACACAAGTCGTCACCGAAACGATCGAAAGAGTTCTTCGGATAAATCTTTCGCTAAAATGTAAGACAAAAAAGACAATAAAAACTCAATGAATACTCAATTGTTTGCCAATCAGTACCTGTTTTTTGACGACCAGTTCTTCGGTGCCATTTGTGTCGGCAATCGATGCCATCGTTGGAGTGGTATTCGAGTAGATCTGCGATCAAAACGAAAGACAATTTAAACAACAATTAAAACCTAATAAACAGTCAATTATTTGTCACTCAAAACCTGTCGCAAGTCTTGAATGTCTGAAAACTTGGGAACAAATGAAGAGATTGTTTGCAATCAACGGTTTGTTAAGAAAATAAGTAAATTTTCTGTTAAGAAATGCAAACAAATGCTACAAAACTATGAAATGTTTAAAATTAATTGCAGTTTAAAACACGAGACATGTATTGAAAAGTGCACTAAATTTGTTAAACTAATCATTAATTCAATTGACTTTTGGTTTGCATTTCACGCGTTTTGTGTTGTCTTTACAGTTAGTGAATACCTATTGATATGAAAACGCGTTAACTGCTGACACTATAAAAGCCTGCATTCATTTGTCTGTTAACCCTTTGTTATGAAAAGTAAAACTTTTTATACACTTTTAAGTTAAGAAATGCTAAACAAATGCTACAAAACTTTGAAATGTTTTATTGAATGAAATAGTATTTGAATCGTGAAATTGTCTTTCAGATGGATATTGTATGGCATAAGTGAGATACCCGTCGGGTCTCTAATGACTGCCCGATTGGCCAGTGTTTTGAACTACTGGTAGACCCGTATTGGAGTCTAAAGTCGATACACTGTCTGAAGAGTCCGTAGAGGCCGTGGAGGCCGTCGAGCGAGTGCTGAATGGGATGCGAACGGTTGACTTGATTGTCATCCGATGTGTTGGCGACAGACCTCTCTTCACGTCGTCTATCACTCGAAGCCATAAGTTGTCTGTCATTTCATTCAATGCCAGCAATTCTTCCGACTCTTTGGCGAACATTGACTTAAAATTCTTGTCAAGAAATGTCTTCAATGCGGTCACGAAGTGGTCGGTCGGCGGCTCGCGTTTGTAACCAACTCTGGCCACTGTTAGCACGTTCTCGACGGTCAACAGTGCGGCTAATCGGGTGCCCATCGCTTCGCTCAGACCTCGGATCCGATATTTGTCGGCCATTTCGGCGATTGTGTCCATTGTCTCGACGCTTACCATTGATTCCAAGTGTTTGCCGATAGCGTTGACTAAACGCATGACTCGGTAATAGTCGGCGCAGTGGAGGACATCGTCGATGAGTTTCAAGTCTTTGGCGTCGCTTAAGACCAGATCCGATGTATACATGAATCGTATCATTGCTTTGAAGGCATCGGCAGTCGTGTCCGTAATTGTGATCTCTTTGGCCGTCGACTCCGAGTATTGTCCCGAAAACATGGCGTCAAAGACATCACTCTTGAGCCCTAAGACTGCTTTGATTGCCGGCACTCTCTGGCCGTCGACCAGAAACACGACATCACTCTTGGATTCGTTCATAAAATGTTTCATTTCGGGACACTTCTCGTCGTCGTCACCGATGGATGTCTTTGACTGCAATTCAAACCAATTATCAAACGAGTGGTTAAACTAATTGTGATGTCATTACATGTTTGACTGTGTTTTGGGATCCGCTGTCTTTGTTGTCTGCCATTTGGTTTCAGTTGATTACAAGACTGTCTTCAAAGTGACAGTTAGTCTGAAAACTATTTCTCAATTAATAAAACAATTGAAAGTTTGAATTGAAATTAAAACGTGATATAAAATACACAACAATACCATTGGTTTGTAATTTAATGATACATTTCATAGCAATTAGTGATCATTTTGTGGATCCGCTTGTATTCACATATTTATATCAAAAAATTAATTAATTATAAAATGTTAAATATTCATGTATTCATTGAGATTTTAATTGAATGTAAAATCAAATCAAAATCAAATCAAATATAGTTTATAAATACAAATCCTATAAATTAAGACATAAAATACAATTAAACTGTTTTTATAACAATTTAAAACAAAATAAAGTTGTCTTTTAATCGCTTTCAAACATAAAACTTTGAAACTTTTAATAAATTTACACAAATTTCAATTGTCTTTAGTTTAGGACTTCTCGACAATACATTATAATATAAAATACATAAAAATTAATCATTAATTTAATTGTTTATTGGTTTGCATTTCACGTTTTGTGTCACAAAAGTTATGCAAAAAATTATATAAAACACAAAATTTGTGTTTTCTTTAAAGTTATTGAATACTTATTGATATAAAACGAGTTAACTGTTAACACTATTAAAGCCTGTAGTCATTGTCTGTTAAGAGTTTGTGTTATTCAAATGAAATTGAATAAAAAGTTTTAAACTTCAAACTAACGAGGGAAATACAAACCATGGCTAATTCAGAATTAAATTTAATTCAGTTGTACATGTAGATTGGATCAAATAAAAAATATAAATTGAATATCTCGGACTGATAGCCACAAACGTCCGAAATACGACCATTTTTGTAATTCCGCGTATACGGCGTATAGCATTGAAAAAAGATGTTTCACACAATGCTTTGGCTAATCACCAGTACTGCATTGCTATAAGCTGTATGGGCGCGATCACTAAAATGGTCATATTTCGGACGTTTGTGGCTATCAGCCCGAGATATTCAATTTATATTTTTTATTTGATCCAATCTACATGTACAACTGAATTAAATTTAATTCTGAATTATCCATGGTTTGTATTTCCCTCGTAAGCGCAAAGTTTTGTATTTCATTTTTATACACTTTTTAGCATTGATTTATACTTTGATTTATTAACGATTAACTAATTATAAATCGTTAAACATTTATGAATTGATTGAGAATTAAATTGAATGTCAAAATGAAAGTCAAATCACATATAATTTATTAAATAATAATAATAATAATAATCAGACATAAAATGAAATATTAAATACAAATAGCCTTTTAATTGGGTTTTAAGTCACTTTTAAGTTAAATTACTAAAGTTACTAATAATCATAATTACAATCAAACATAAAATTAAAACAATTAAAATGTTCATTAAGTTGTCATTCAATCGCTTCAAATATTTGTACCACTTTTACGGCAATAAAACATTGAGTCACCGGATCTGCGGATTTCAATGGTCTTCAGTTTAGCACTTCTGGCCAACAGGTCTTCGCAAACATTATCTATTAAATGATTGGTAATATGCATAGGATTTACCACAAAACGACTGAATAGTAGTGAAAAGTCAAACACAAGTGTCTGCAGCGCTGGTAGTCTTGAGATGTGATCCAAACCATTGCTTGTGATATCAGTCCTTTGAATTGATAAGCATTGAAGTCGTGGCCAATGTTTGTCACAATTGACAAACAAATTGTCATCAATTTGACTCGAATTGAGCGATAGATGTGTTAATCGGTGGCAGAGTTTCAACGGATCCAGAAATAGCTCATCGATCATTGAAGTAATGATTAAATCCATACGTTTTAATCTGCGATAACATCCCAACGAATCGATTGAATGATGATAAAGTCGAATAGTATTCTTCGCCTTCAATTTCAGTCTCAATCGTTTCAATTGCGGGCACTTCTGGCCGATTGCCCGCAAAAACACGTCCAATGAGTTCTGTCCGTAGTTTAGCATTAAATCGAGTGTCAAATCCCTTAATTGTGGTAATCGTGACAACTGTTCGGCCAATTCGGTCAAACTCTCGTGAGATTCATAGTTATAAACAATGAGTTTAACACTTCTTAGGGACTGATTCTGTGCCACGAATGCAGACAACAAGTGTTTATCATCAAAACTATTGTAAGAAAATTCAAATCGCTGTAAATTCTTGGCCAACAGTTCTCCTGTCGTGTCGTCAAAGATTTCGGAAATGCTGTGAATCCGGAGTCGAGACAATCGGTGGCAATGAGAGAGCCGTTGATTATCGATCAAAGGATTACTAATAAAACCAATTCTTGTGACCAGTTGTCCGAACTCTGGCATCAATTGATCCGTATTTTCATCAAAATCGCAGTAAATGTGCCGTAAATGCGGACAATTGTCTCGAAAGATGGGCAACACTTCCGGCAATTGCTTCGTAAATGTGTTGCTTATTCTTCGGCAGTCAATGGTATGAATGTGTGAACACTTGCGGCCGATTGTGGCCAACATTTGCATGTAATTGATGTCAGTCCGCGATCTCTTCTCATACCAAAAGGTCATGTCGTGTATAGTTATGTCGACAACACTCTCGAAGACAGTTCTCTGGAACTGTTTGGACACACATTCGCAGACAAAGCTCTCGTACAGCGAGAGGTACGACAGTAAGAGTCCAAACAAGTCATCACCGAAACGATCGAAAGAGTTCTTCGCATAAATCCGTGGCTAAAAATATAATATAAAAGAAAATTAAAACTCAATGAATACTCAATTATCTGTCACTCAATACCTGTTGTATGTCTTCGTCTTCGGTGTCATCTGCGGTGACGAGTGATGTCTTCGTTGGTGTCATCTCTTGTGTCATATGTTGTGATCAAATGAAGTGATTGTCTGTATTAATGGTTTGATTAGTAAACCTTAAAATTTTCAAAAAAAAAACTGGTTAAAAAAGTTAAGATTAAAAAAAATAGTAACACTTTTAAAATAGAGAGTGATTGAGATGTGAGTTGTCTGACGTCTGGCGCTCTTCTAAACCTGCAGTCAATCCAATCGTTCAAATGCTTCACAGCTTTCAATAAGAGTTTCGTCAGTAAAAAAGGATTAAAGGATTTAAAAAGATTCACATTTTTGTTATTCATGTGTTTAATCGTAAATGTCGTGTAATATTCGTAAGATACACAAAATATAGTTTTCAAACTTTTTGTTAGTTTTGTTTGCAAATAAAATATAAATTATTTTACAAAAAAGTTTTAAACTAAAATTTAATAATTGATTTATAAATAGCATTAAATTGCGATAACTTTTCATGCCTTCAGTATTAATATCGCTGTAATATTCATACGTTATTTTAATTAAATAAAAGTTTAAAAATTAATAAATCATGAGTTTTATTGAATTGAATGAAATTGTATTTGAATCGTGAAATTGTCTTTCATATGGATATTGTGTGGCATAAGTTAGACACCCGTCGGGTCTCTAATGACTCCCCGATTGGCCAGTGTTTTGACTTCTTGGTAGACCCGTATAGGCGTCTAAAGTCGATGTACTGGCCGTAGAGGCTGTAGATAGCGAGCGGGCGAAGCGAACGGTTAAGTTGATTGTCATCCGATGTGTTGGCGACAGACCTCTCTTCACGTCGTGTATCACTCGAAGCCATAAGTTGTCTGTCATTTCATTCAATGCCAGCAATTCTTCCGACGCTTTGGCGGCCATTGAATCAAAATTCCTGTCAAGAATTGTCTTCAATGCGGTCACGAAGTCGTCGGTCGGCGGCCGGCGTTTGTACCCGACTCTGACCACAGACAACACGTTATCAACGGTCAACATTGCGGCCAATCGGGTGCCCATCGCTTCGCTCAGACCGCGGATCCGATACTTGTCGGCCATTTCGGCGATTGTGTCCATTGTCTCGACGCTTACCATCGATTCCAAGTGTTTGCCGATTGCGTTCACTAAACGCATGACTCGGTAATAGTCGGCGCAGTGGAGGACATCGTCGATGAGTTTCAAGTCTTTGGCGTCGCTTAAGACCAGATCCGATGTATACATGAATCGTATCATTGTTTTGAAGGCGTCGGCAGTCGTGTCCTTAATTGTGATCTCTTTGGCCGTCGACTCCAAGTATTGTCCCGAAAACATGGCGTCAAAGACATCACTCTTGAGCCGTAGGACTGCTTTGATTGCCGGCACTCTCTGGCCGTCGACCAGAAACACGACATCACTTTTGGATTCATTCATAAAGTGTTTCATTTCGGGAAACCTCTCGTCTTCGGTGTCACCGATGGATGTCTTTGACTGCAATTCAAATCAATTATCAAACGAGTGGTTAAACTAATTGTGATGTCATTACATGTTTTGCTGTGTTTTGGGATCCGCTGTCACTATTGTCTGCCATTTGGTTTCAGTTGATTCCAAGACTGTCTTCAAAGTGACAGTTAGTCTGAAAACTATTTCACAATTAATAAAGCGATTGAAAGTTTGAATTGAAATTAAAACGTGATATAAATTACACAACAATTGGTTTTAATCATACAATTTATAGCAATTAGTGACCATTTTGTAGTTCAGTTTGTATTCACATTTTACACAATTATTGCCGACTTTTTATCCGCAAAAATCACTCAATTTTTACACTCAAATAACTCATTGGTTCGCAAAACGACTTCAAACCAAAAACTTTGTCACAAAAAATAGTTTTCAAAACTTTTTATTAGTTTTGTTCGCAAATAAAATACAGAAATTATTTTACAAAAAGTTTTAAAACTAAAAGTTTATAATTGATTTATAAATAGCATTAAATTGCAATAACTTTTAATGCCTTCAGTATTAACCTTAATATCGCTGTAATATTCATACGTTATTTTAATTTTAAAAAAGTTAAATCATTAATAAATCTTGAGTTTTATTGAATTGAATGAAATAGTATTTGAATCGTGAAATTGTCTTTCATATGGATATTGTATGGCATAAGTTAGACACCCGTCGGGTCTCTAATGACTACCCGATTGGCCAGTGCTTTGAACTACTGGTAGACCTATAGTGAAGTCTATTGACGATCCACTGTCTGTAGACTCCGTAGAGGCTGTGGAGGCCGTCGAGCGCATAGAACCGGATATCGGGTACGGGAAGCGACCGGTTGTGGTGATTGTCATCCGATGTGTTGCCGACAGACCTCTCTCCACGTCGTGTATCACTCGAAGCCATAAGTTGTCTGTCATTTCATTCAAAGCCAACAATTCTTCCGACTCTTTGGCAAAAATGGCCGCAAAATTCTTGTCAAGAAATGCCTTCAATTCGGTCACGAAGTGGTCGGCCGGCGGTCCGCGTTTGTAACCAACTCTGGCCACTGATAGCACGTTCTCGACGGTCAACAGTGCGGCCAATCGGGTGCCCATCGCTTCGTTCAGACCACGGATACGATACTTGTCGGCCATTTCGGCGATTGTGTCCATTGTCTCGACGCTTACCATTGTTTCCAAGTGTTTGCCGATTGCGTTCACTAAACGCATGACTCGGTAATAGTCGGCGCAGTGGAGGACATCGTCGATGAGTTTCAAGTCTTTGCCATCACTTAAGACCAGATCCGATGTATACATGAATCGTATCATTGTTTTGAATGCGTCGGCAGTCGTGTCCGTAATTGTGATCTCTTTGGCCGTCGACTCTCTGTATTGTCCCGAAAACATGGCGTCAAAGACATCACTCTTGAGCCGAAGGACAGCTTTGATTGCCGGCACTCTTTGGCCGTCGACCAGAAACACGACATCACTCTTGGATTCGTTCAGAAAGTGTTTCATTTCGGGAAACCTCTCGTCGTTGTCGTCACCGATGAATGTCTTTGACTGCAATTCAAATCAATTATCAAACGAGTGGTTAAACTAATTGTGATGTCATTACCTCTTTGGCTGTGTTTTGGGATCCGCTGCCAGTCTTGTCTGCCATTTGGTTTCAGTTGATTCCAAGACTGTCTTCAAAGTGACAGTTAGTCTGAAAACTATTTCACAATTAATAAAACAATTGAAAGTTTGAATTGAAATCAAAACGTGATATAAATTACACAACAATTGGTTTTAATGATACAATTTATAGCAATTAGTGACCATTTTGTAGATCAGTTTGTATTCACATATTTAGCGCATATTTATATCAAGAATTTAATTAATTATAAATCGTTAAACATTTAGGTATTGATTGAGAATTAAATTGAATGTCAAAATGAAAGTCAAATAACATATAATTTATTAAATAATAATAATAATCAAACATAAAATGAAATATTAAAAACAAATAGCCTTTTAAATGGGTTTTTAAGTCACTTTTAATTAAAATTCTTAAGCATTTATTGGATGTAATAAAATATTAGTAATAATCATAATTACAATCAAACATAAAATTTAAAATTAAAACAATTAAAATGTTCATTAAGTTGTCATTCAATCGCTTCAAATATTTGTACCACTTTTACGGCAATAAAACATTGAGTCATCGTATCTACGGATTTCAATGCACTTCAGTTTAGCACTTCTGGCCAACAGGTCTTCGCAGACATTATCTATTAAATGATTGTCAATATGTATACGATTTACCACAAAACCACTGAATAGTAGGGAACAGTCAGACACAAGTGTCTGCAGCGCTGGTAGTCTTGAGATGTGATCCAAACCATTGCTTGTGACATCAGTTCTATGAATGGATAAGCATTGAAGTCGTGGCCAATGTTTGTCGCAATTGACAAACAAATTGTCATTAATGTGACCCGAATTGAGTGATAAATGTGTTAATCGGTGGCAGAGTTTTAACGGATCCAGAAATGCAGCAAAAATGGCTGAAGTGATGGTTAAATCCAAACGTTTTAATCTGCGATAACATCCCAACGAATCTATTGAGTGATTATAAAGTCGAAAAGTATTCTTCGCCTTCAACTTTAGTCCCAATCGTTTCAATTGCGGGCACTTCTGGCCGATTGCCCGCAAAAACACGTCCAATGAGTTCGGGCCGTAGTTTAGGATTAAATCGAGTGTCAATTCCCGTAATTGTGGTAATCGTGACAACTGTTCGGCCAATTCGGTCAAACTCTCGTGAGATTCATATTCATAACCATCGAGTTTAACACTTCTTAGGGACTGATTCTGTGCTACGAATGCGGACAACAGGTGTTTACTATCCAAACTATCGTAAGAAAATTCAAATCTCTGTAAATTCTTGGCCAACAGTTCTCCTGTCGTGTCGTCAAAGACTTGGGAAATGTAGTTAACCCGGAGTCGAGACAATCGGTGGCAATGAGAGAGCCGTTGATTATCGATCAGATTACTAATGCAACCAATTCTTGTGACCAGTGGTCCGAACTCTGGCATCAATTGATCCGTATTTTCATATAAATCGCAGTAAATGTGCCGTAAATGCGAACAATTGTCTCGAAAGATGGGCAACACTTCCGGCAATTGTTTCGTATATGTGTCGCTTAATCTTCGGCAGTCAATGGTGTGAATGTGTGAACACTTGCGGCCGATTGTGGCCAACATTTTACTGTCATTGATGTTAGTCCGCGATATCTTCCCAAACAGAAGGGTCAGGTCGTGAATAGTTATGTCGACAACGCTCTCGAAGACAGTCCTCTGGAATTGTTTGGACACACATTCGCAGACAAAGCGCTCGTGGAGTGAGAGGTACGACAGTATGACTCCACACAAGTCATCACCGAAACGATCGAAAGAGTTCTTCGCATAAATCTGTCGCTAAATTTATATTTTTATATAATATAAAAGACAATTAAAACTCAATGAATACTCAATTATCTGTCACTCAATACCTGTTGTATGTCTTCGTCTTCGGTGTCATCTGTGGTGACGAGTGATGTCTTCGTTGGTGTCATCTCTTGTGTCATATGTTGTGATCATATGAAGCGATTGTTTGAATCAATGGTTTGATTAGTAAATCTGGTTAGAAAATGGTTAAAAATTAGTTAAGATTAAAAAAATAAAACTTTTGAAACAAACAGTGAATGAGGTGTGAGTTTGTGTGACGTCTGGCGCTCTTCTAAACCTAACACTCAATTCAATCGTTCAAATGGTTCACAGCTTTCAAAACGAGTTTCGTCAGTAAAAAAGGATTAAAGGATTTAAATAGGATTAACATTTTTGTTATACATGTGATTAGGCGTCGTTCACAAAGTGCGTTCGGGGGGAGAGGGTGTCGGCCAAAGCGAAATTTTGCGAAAGAGGGGAAGGGATATACAATGCAAAGACCTTATGAACGTTTGCATTAAAATAATTTAATCTTTTAATAACAAATGTTATTACTTTTAAATAAAAATAGTTTTATTTCTAGTTTTTGAATTATTTAAAAAGTGAAAAACACTTCCAAAATTGGTTTAATTGTAATTAATTTTCTAATTGTTATATTGATATAAAACTATATTTTTTGTTTTTTAGTTTGAGTTTTAATTAAGAATTTTTAAATAATGTTTATAAATAACTTTAGCAGTAAATTAACCCAAAGTTTAAAACGGAAACAATTTGTAATAACTATTAAAGTTTTCATCAAAAAAACTAATTAAAGAAGCATTGATTGAATTAATAATATAATTATTTACAGAATTACAAATCCAATAACAATAAATCAAAAAACAGTTTTTTGTAAACATTTATTTAAAACTAAACAACAAATTGTTTGATACTTATCAATGAGATTCTGTTCAATAAAATGTTGATAATGTCTACAAATAATTACATTTGTTTAATTGTGTTAAATATATTTCATAAGTTTTTTGTAATTTATGTGTTTTGATATTTTATTAGAAATATTTTATTTAAAACTTAAAATTCAATAGTTTTAAAATGTTTTCAATGAGTGGCTAAAAGTTATGAGAACTGATCCAAAGGATAGACACAATGAATATCTTAATGCCTGAGAGTGTGTTATGTCTTGAGTACTCAAGAAGAAGGTAATAATAACCATTGATTTAGTGGACTTTGTTTTCTCGTATAATTTTCATGTTATATATACAGTAATTATAAATTTAAAAAGTTTGTCAAAATATAAATCAAAGGATTTAAAATCAATTAATGTTTATTTTAGTGAAACTTAATATTTTAAAAGTGTTTTTACTATTTTAAAAAGTGAGTCCACAAACGCAAAGCCAGGGCTGAATCACTGGATATGAAATATTACACTGTATTAGTGAAAGGCATTCAGTTTATGTTGTTTTGCAAGTAAATGATCTAAAACTGTATACTTTGTAAATTATGTTGCATTTAAATGTATTTTTCAAAAGACATCTGCAATATATTTACATACATTTGTCGCAAACACTTAATTAGCGTTTAACTGCGAAATCAATTTATGAAAAGCTTTATTTCGCATTCACTGCTCTTTCATTGCATTTAAACACTGGACTCAATGCTCAACACTTCACACAAAGTTTTTATTCATTTCTATTTCACAAATATATTGTTTTTAATACTTTATTTTCGTCAAAACTTTTTAAATCTTATTTAATTCAGTGTTTATTTTGTTGATTAGTTGTGTTGAATATTGAGATATATTTCTATTAAACGAGTGAATTGTGCGTAAGATTTACGTTAAATTATGAGTGAAATGCAATCTTTGCGTGAATCCCAAGAAGAAGATAATGGCGTGAATGAGAGATCCGTTGCCATTGAAATGAATGTCATAATTGGCAACAATTCATCGCAAGAGAGCACAGATCGCCAGCCAATCAATGAGACGGCAACTGATGGGCAAAGAGTGGGCAGTGAGTCGGGCGGCGCCGGCACTTCGGGCTTATCGGGCAACTCATGCCCACCCGGAGGTCAGCCAATGAATGGGCCGGAAATTGTTGTTCACCCGCTATCCAACAGCGAATCAGTGTCCGCACCGCCCGAACGTGTGATCACATTCACAAACTGGAGCGCATTTTTCATCATTTACTCAATGATCATGTATTCGGTGGACATTATATTAGACATAATGCTGGCGATCAGCCATTACGTCGATCACAATTATTGGTATGATTTTGATTACATAGTGTAACCATTAATACATTGTTTTAAAAATAAATATCACATTTAACTCAATGTGTGTGTGCTTTACAATTAGGTATTTCGGTCTAACGCTGGCCTTTATATCCATACCGTCGCTCATAACGACGGCAACAGTGATCCGAATACACGCGACGGCGCCCGACAGTAGATTGTCTCCGGTGTTCAGTAGGCAAACCACTAGAGAAATCGTATTAGTTGTGTCGCAAATGCAACCAATTATTAGTGGTATGAAAGCGCTTGATTTGGGATTCAGTATAAGAAGATCCATTGCCAATCCATTGTCCCAAATACTCAACTACGGGCGCTTATTACTCGAGACTGAAGTGATGTGTCGGCTCAGCCTAACCGAGGCCTTTCAGGAGTCGGCTCCGCAACAGGTGCTCCAACTCTATATTCTCGCGATGGCCACCACTTATGGATACACCGGTATGTCTACCCATCGATATATCTATCCATCGATTTTGTCCATTAATATCGCATTTCTAACTTATTTATAGCTATCATACAAGTGGTGGGTGTGTTCGCAGCGTTGCTGTCCATGTCGTGGTCATTGGTCGCATACCATAAGGCGTTTGATTTAAATAGTGAGACAACTTATAATGTCGATCCGGGCAACACATGGCCGGTATGTTTACACTGGTTTCATAGTTTTGCGCCCAAATCTAATAGTTATGTATATATTTATGTCAATTCGCAGGCATTTATTGTTCAGATGGTGTCCTATATGTTCGCAATCGCCGCTCGTCTATTGGCTATCACTCTATTCGCCACACAATTTACATACATTTTAGGCGTTGTTTTGGTCATTCATGTGATGATCATGTTCATAATCGACCATGAATGTCCCGAAGGGTTTAATACTGTCAGTTGGCGCAATTTAAACACTCACTATTTTATACTAGTGGTCAATATATTTTGCTACCCGTGGCGACCCATTCGCAATTGTCAATACCATTACATCGGTTACAATGTGGTAATATTTGTGGAAAATCTCATTTTACTCACTTTCTGGTATAACTATTGCGATGACAGCGTGTCGTATAAGGCGATCGCAGTGTACTTAAACATTGGCATATATTTGGTTGGCTTTTATTTTACGGTAAGTGTTGTGATTGAGTGCTATTACTATTGGTGTATGACTTAACTTTAATTCACTTAATAATCACACTATAGTTTGTCCACTATGTTTGGTCGCAAACATTGAATTTTGATGGCTATGACAACATTAACACTGTTGTCGACGAGACAACAGGCAATTCCACGGCTAATACTGGATCTCAAAGTGTGCCATAATTAATGGCAACATTCACTTCACTTAAGATAATGTGATAATAATTGTGTCATTCAATTGATATCTGTTTCGTTGGCTTTTAATTATGAATACAGTATTCATCCAATAATATGTCTATTATTTGTTTTAACTTTTAATGTTTGTTTTCATTTGATATTTAAGTAAAATACTTAATTTTTGTAAATTATTTCTTATCGTTTTTATAGTGACATAAAACTATATTTTCTGTTTTAATTAAGATTTTTAAAATAATGTTTATAAATAACTGTAAGTAAGTTAAGCCTAAAGTTCCAAAACCAATTATTTGTAATAACTTTTAAAGTTTTCTTACTTAATTTTTGCTAATTATTGTTTGTCATCTATTCTTATATTGATATAAAACTATATTTTCTGTTTTTTATTTTGAGTTTTAATTAAGAATTTTTAAATAATGTTTATAAATAACTTTAGCAGTAAATTAACCCAAAGTTTCAAACGGAGATTATTTGTAATAACTATTAAAGTTTTCAATAAAAAACTAATTAACAAAGCATTCATTGAATTAATAATATAATTGTTTACAGAATTGTTATAATAATTAAAAACAAACACTAATCCAATAATTCAAAATTAAAAAAAACAGTTTTATTATAGAGATGGGAAAGGGAGACAATACCTCCAGCATTCGCCGCATCGATAATTTTTACGATAAAATTTTAAGTTAAAATCTAATTTATACACATTTTATAATTTAGTTTTGAATAAATTTCAAACAAATTAGAATTAAAACAATATAATAAAATGTGGACAATGTCGACAAAGAATTACATTTGTTTAATTGCATTAAATCTATTTCATAAGTTTCCTGTAATTTATATGTTTTGATAATTTATTAGAAATATTATATTTAAAAATTTTAAATTCAATAGTTTTAAAATATTTTCAATGATTGGCTAAAAGTTATGAGACAACTGATCCAAAGGATAGACACAATGAATATCCTAATGCCTGAGAGTGTGTGTCATTTCTTGAGTACTCAAGAAGAAGGTATAATAACCATTGATTTAGTGGACTTTGTTTTCTCGTATTATTTTCATGTAATATATAATTATAAATTTAAAAAGTTTGTCAAAAATATAAATCAAATGATTTAAAATCAATTAATGTTTATTTTAGTGAAACATAATATTTTTATGTGTTTTTACTATTTTAAAAAGTGAGTCCACAAAAGCAAAGCCAGGGCTGAATCACTGGATATGAAATAATATACTGTATTAGTGAAAGACATTCAGTTTATGTTGTTTTGCAAGTAAATGATCTAAAACTGTATACTTTGTAAATTGTGTTGCATTTAAGTGTATTTTTCAATAGACATCTGCAATATATTTCCATACATTTGTCGCAAACACTTAATTAGCGTTGAAATGCGATTTCAATTTATGAAAAGCTTTATTTCGCATTCACTGCTCTTTCAATGCATTCAAACGCTGGACTTTGGTCTGTGAACAACACTTAAAACAAAAACTTTTAACTCAAAAGTTTTCTCATTTTAAAAATTAAAACTTATTTTTGAAAATTAAATATTTGTTTTTCGCGGAAAACCTTTTTAATTGTATTTAATTTAGTGTTTATTTTTGTTAATTATTTGTGTTGAATATTGAAATACATATCTATTAAACAAGTGAAACACTTATGAAATACATTGCCATTGAAATGAATGTCATAAATGGCAACAATTCATCGCAAGAGAGCACAGATCGCCAGTCAATCAATGAGACGGAAATTGATGGCCAAAAAGTGGCCAAAAGATTGGGTGACCCACTCGTCGCACCTCAACAAAAAAGTGGGCAAATTGTTGGCCACCCGTTAGATGTTGGCCGCGAACGGGCGAACGCACGGCCCAAACGCAAAATGGTATTCAGTATAATATTCACTGTGATATTTAATGTTATTAATATCGGGGTGGCAATCCGTCATTATTATGATGACAATTATTGGTATTATATAATTGTTATTATAACTATAACGTTAATTAATGCTAGTGTTTGTCATAAAGGTATTTCAGTTTAACGCTAGCGTTTGTATTGATGCCGTCGTTGATTATGACGGCGATACACATCCGCTGGGAAGGGATCAGAAGCTGGCAATCGGTTAAACAAATTGTAATAATATTGTCACAAACGGCACCACTTGTCACAAAATACGGAGCGGTTAAACACCAATTGAAAATACAATCAACTACTTTATCAAATAATTCATTTGAAATTACTTATGAGAAAATGTTTATTAATAATATAAAGTTTATTATATGGAACCTAATATATGCCAGTATCCGATCGGCTCCGCAACTTATATTACAGATCTATATACTCGTAAAGGCTAACACTTATGGCTGGACGGGTATGTCCGGCCCCACACCTAATCTGTCCGTACATTTTATGTGAATATTTGTATTTATAATTTACTTTTAGCTGCGATACAAGGGTTGGCAATATTATGGTCATTAGTGTACATCAACATCTCATTGTTCGCCTTCAATCGGGCGTTTAGTGTATGGCCTAATGACAAGTGGCCCGTATGTTATCAATTGTCCCAAACATAATACTCATGTAATCTACATGTATATATTTATTTCACTCCGTAGGCACGTGTAGTTCATTTTTTGTCGTACTTTTTCATGATAACGGCCCGTATTTTGGCGCTCAGTCTATTCGCCGTTATATTTAAATATTATTTAGGCGTTGTTTGGGTCATTCATTTAGCGATTATATTAGCGCTAGATGGTCAATTCACACAAATGGGCTTGTATAATTCCAATGGCAACAATTCAGATAGTGAATTATTTGCTGAGTTAATGCTCGTCTATGTAATATGTTTCCTATGGCGACCCGTCGGCCAATACAACCAACAATTTATTGCTTATAATATAATAATATTTGTGGAAAATATAATGTTAATCACTATTTGGTACAGACTTTCAGATGATATTTGGTATAAACCGATCGCACTGTACGTAAACTTTGGCATATATTGGGTTGGCTATAATTTCATGGTGAGTTTTAAGTGATTGAGTGATATTTACTATTGGTATATGAACTAAATTTAATTCAATTATAGTTTGTCCACTATTTATGTTTCAAACGATTGTGTAAACCCAATGTTGACACCGAGACGACAGACAATATCAGTAGTAATCATGAATCTCTTAATGTGTAATAATTGATGACAAAACTCACTTCATTTACAATACAAATGCCATAATAATTGTGTCTTTCGATGCGCTCCTAAACAGTATTTAATTATGAATATAGTATTCACTCAATTATATGTCTTATTATATGTTTTAACCTTTAATTGTTTGAAATTTTAAGTTGATTTTTTATTATAATACTTAATTTTTGCTAATTATTGTTTGTCATCTATTCTTATATTGATATAAAACTATATTTTCTGTTTTTTATTTTGAGTTTTAATTAATAATTTTTAAATAATGTTTATAAATAACTTTAGCTTTAAATTAACCCAAAGTTTTAAAAGGAAATTATTTGTAATAACTATTGAAGTTTTCAATAAAAAACTAAATAAAGAAGCATTCATTGAATTAATAATATAATCATTTACAGAATTATAACAAAAATTATAATAATTAAAAACAAATTCAATAACAATAAATCAAAAAACAGTTTTTTGTAAACATTTATTTCAAATTGTTTAATACTTTTCAATGAGATTCAAACCATTGATTTGTAATATCAGTCCTTCTTCTTAGCCTTCGGTTCGCTTTTCTTACTGTCAGTCGATTTGGATTTCTTTGAAGTGTTTCTCAACTTCTTGTATGCGTTCACAAAGTTTTCCACATCTGTTTTGAACACAAAAGTATTAATTCATAAAAAACAATTCATATCCTATTATAGAGATGGGAAAGGGAGGCAATACCTCCAGCATTGGCCGCGGCGACACATTCCTGTCCCAAATTAAACTCCTGGACCACTGGACCCAACTGTCGGGACCGGATGGCGGCCGACAGATCATTGGCTGGACTCAGACCACTACTGGTGCCGGCGGGCAATGTCTGGCGGACCCGACGCATGAACGCCACGTCACTTAGCAGTGGTCGCAACTCATCCAACGGTGGATTATCACTCGATGGCTGTCCGACCGGTGCTAAAACACATTAAACATAGTATAAAACAAGTGTCAATTACCACAGACTCAGTGCTCATACCTGTGCTCTGAGTGGCAGACGGCTGACGGTTAGCGTCATCGATGGCTGACCTCAACTGAGACAACTCTATTCGGGATCTATTAGCGGCCGAACCCTTGGCCACCGCTGGAGGCGATTGGTGTCCACCGGTCGCAGCCTTTCCGTGAGCTGAAGCGCCGGGTGTTTGACGCGATTGGGGCGCCTGTACTTGAGATCCAGTAGCCGTCGAGGCGTTGGCCACCGCTGGCGGCGACGCGTGTTCTACAGGTGCTGACAAACGTGATAAAAGTTAATATCAATTGTCATAGACTTGTGCGCATACCTGTGCTCTGAGTGGTAAACGGCTGACGGTTAGCGTTATTGATAGCTGACTGCAACTGAGACACCTGTATTTGGGATCCATTAGTGGCCGAACCGTTAGCAGCTGTTGGCTGTCCACCGGCTGCCGGAGCCGTGCCGTGAGTTGAAGTACCGGACGTTTGACGCGCCGCACGATTGGCCTCGACTCGGGCTAACAGGCGTTCAATATGGACGACCGATTCGGCTGATGGACTGTCCAGAGCGGCGAGCAATGCCTGCACTTCTCGCTCAGGCATACCCTCGAGAGCGGCCCTCACCTCATCATGTGTTGGCAAATCATTGATCGGAACCGCACCACCACTACCAGCAGTAGCAGGAGCTGCAGCAGCAGCACCAGTACCACCGCTGGCAGCTGCCGGTGCCGGCCGGTGACCCATGTATTGGTTGAATTTGGCCACCAATTCGTCGTCTTTGTCGGCTCTCGAGTTCGGCTCTTGACTCCAATAGAAATAGCGGTTCGGATTGGACTTGAATTTAAGGACAAACACGCGGCCAGTCGTGCACTGAACCACTCGCTTGAACTCAGCCTCTTCTGGGAATAAGATCAGGTCCTGAGCGGTGATGTGTGTCCGCACACAGGCATAGGTTTTGGGCATTAAATTTATGGTTAGTTTAATGATAATGACTGACAACTGATCCCAACACTTACGTCCTCCAGAGCTCCGGTTTCCCTGTCTTTCCAGCAAAAGTGTAGCAAAGAGTCGTCGCTTTGGTGTAGATATACCAGTCCTTTGCGGTTCTTCACTGGACTCACCTATAGGTGCGTCCGAAATGAATGGTTAGTACAGTATGTGTTAACTAATAGTTACCTGTAGTCACACCCGCCCTATACTAACCGTAGTGCCGGTGCGGATCATTTTGCCCGCTTTGAAGTGAACCAAATACTGGTCATTCGGGTCTCTGGTCTGAGCGCCGGCAGGTCTTTGCGCCCGGAATAGTGCGGTTCGGGACATACTTTTAGCGAACCGTTGGATTGAAACTTAAATAATGTTTTAAATTGAAGTTTAAATTCAATTCAATTCACTATTGATTTGAGAAGTTTGTTGTTTTTCACGTGTTTTATAATTAATTGTAAAATTTATTTAGTTTCTTGAGATTTATTTTACTATTAATTTTGTTTGTAGATATTTATTAAATAATTAATACAGTTTTAACTAGGTTTTGATTTAACAGTTATTTAAATTCATTAAATAAAAATTGTATGTTATTGTAAAAATAATAAACATTAATTTGGTTGGTTTTAAATTTATTTTGTATTTTAAATTTTGATAGCATTTCTTCAATGAAAGTGTGAACACAATGCAAATCAAAGTCAAAAATAAAGTTTTTAATTAATATTAACTTAAAAAATATTACTTTTATAATTAAAATTACAAAATGTTTACTTAATTTAGACAGAGACTTTAATTGCGAGAGAGAGAGAGAGAGAGAGAGAGAGAGAGAATCCTATGGCGACCCGTCGGCCAATACAACCAACAATTTATTGCTTATAATATAATAATATTTGTGGAAAATATAATGTTAATCACTATTTGGTACAGACTTTCAGATGATATTTGGTATAAACCGATTGCACTGTACGTATACTTTGGCATATATTGGGTTGGCTATAATTTCATGGTGAGTGTTAAGTGATTGAGTGCTATTATTATTGATATATGAACTAAATTTAATTCAATTATAGTTTGTCCACTATTTATGTTTCAAACGATTGTGTAAACCCAATGTTGACAGCGAGACGACAGACACTATCAGTAGTAATAATGAATCTCTTAATGTGTGATAATTAATGACAAAACTCACTTCACTTACAATACAAATGCCATAATAATTGTGTTTTTCGATGCGCTCCTAAACAGTATTTAATTATGAATATAGTATTCACTCAATTATATGTCTTATTATATGTTTTAACCTTTAATTGTTTGAAATTTTAAGTTGATTTTTTATTATAATACTTAATTT